AACAAGCCCATCAGCATCTGTCACAGCTGGCACTGGGAGGATGAGACCAGCCCCTTGTCCCACAACAGACAGACTGATTCCCTCACACACATGACAAGGGTCTCCAGTCTCCCCTGGTCTTGTGAACTTGAGGCTTTTATGCAGAGGAAGGGTAGGAAAATCACTCCTAACCACCAGGACAGTGAGGGGAATGTTGGGGTTCCCTCACACTCTCAGACCATATTAGGTTAGGAGCACTGTGTTCATAGCAGATACATGTGAGTCAATGGGGAGACTTTCCTCAGGGACCTGTCAGGGACCATGCTCAGGGCTTTTGGGCTCCGGATACCATCTAGAAACAGACCATGGACACCAGCAGTCTGACTGAAAGCTTTAGACTGGTGTTTCTCATTGGGCCTTGGACCTCTAGCATCATATTTACTGAAGATGTAGGTTTGGGGGCAGGGGAGATGGCACAGTTGGTAAAGTGCTTGTTATGCAAGTATGAGGACATGAGTTCAATCACCAGAACCCACTTTTTAAAAAAAGTTTGGCATTGTAGCACATATTTGTAGTCCCAGTGCTGGGGAGGCAGAGACTGGCAGATCTCTGGGGCTCACTTGCAGACCAGCCAAGCTGAATCAGCAAGCTCCAGACCAACTGAGAGAACCTATCCCAAAAGACAAGGTGGACAACTCCGAGGAATGATACCTAAGGTTGACCTCTGGCATTCACATGCATAAGCACACATGTGCATCCACACAAACACATATATAAAAAAAGGAAGGGAGGGAGGGAGGGAAGGAAGGAGGGAGGGAGGGAGGAAAGAAACAAAGTCTGGGCTGGGAGTATAGTTCAGTGGGAGGTATAGTGCTTGCCTAGTATGCACAGGGCTCTGGGTTCCACGCCTAGCTATGCAAAATAATAAATCAATAAATTCCTTGGAGACTCAGTAATTGCAAATGAAGACAAAGGGTCAGACCTTCTCCATCACATGAAATTTTCATCACGAAAATTTGAGAAACATTATGTTGGAAAAGAACAGCTATAAAAAAAACATGAACTGCAGGCTGGAGAGATGGCTCAGTGGTTAAGAGCACTGGCTGCTCTTGCAGAGGTCCTGGGTTCTGTTCCCAGCACCTACATGGCAGCTAACAACCATTCATAACTTCAGTTTCAGAAGATCCGACACCCTCTTCTGGCCTCCTCGGGCATTGCATGCACATGGTGCACTTACATACATGCAGGCAATACATTCATACACATAAAAAGAAAAAGAAAATTTCTAAAGAAACTCTCTTTTCTTTCTCACTTCCTCCGTGTCTCCCTGTCTCCTTCTTTCCCTCCTTAGCTTCTCTCTACAAACAATTATTTTCTCAGGGTACTTGGAAACAATGGCCACTGAGCTTTATTCCCCACCCTCATCCTTAATTGGGGTCAAAGACTAAACAAACATCCTTCAAACAGAAAGTCCTTGCTGATACAGCAATCTTCTAACAAAATCACAGAACTCTGTAAAGGATCAAATATCCCCCTTGGCACCTCCTCACCCCAACTATGAGCTCATCTGTCAGTCTCCCACTATAATCAAAGCATAAAGGTGGAAATGGGGCTAATAAAACAACCTACACAATTCCAGGGTCCCAGGATCCCAAAGGTGCACAGTTTTTATATGACCTAGAGTTCCCTAGATCAAATGATGCTGGAGATTATGCAATATTTCACTATGGTGCTTCCTCAGTGTCCCAGGGAATCCCATGGCCACATGGAACATGCTTTTTAGAAGAGTTTAATTAAAGACATGTTAGGTTGAGTATGGTTGGAAGCAGCCTGAGGAAGGACATGAGATCCAAAAAGGACTGAGAGCTATGAGGACGTCAGGCACAGAAGGAACACACACCTGGTGCAGGGTGCTTTGTATTTTCCATTACTTTTGTTTATTTACATGAGGGGGCACACATGTACCATGGTTTGTGGGTGTGTGGAGGTTGGAGCATGTTGTGTGACAGACTTCCTGGGGAGACACCACACACACACACACACACACACACACACACACACACACACCTACTCACCTCACAAAAGGATCCCAGGACAGACCAAGGTAATGATTTGGGATTTTTTTCACCAAAATCTCAACTTGGTGAACCAATGAGGTTTTTATTGGGGTTACTGTGCTGGACAGCTTTATTGTCAACTTGACATACGTGGGTTGGGGGAGCCTCAATTGGGGAATTGCCTGTATTGGACTGGCCTGTGGCCATGTCCATGGGGCATCTTCTTGATGTTGAGTGATGTGGGAGGGGCCAGCCCACTGTGAGTGGTGCCACCCCTGGGCAGGTGGGCCTGTGTTGCATAAGAAAGCAGACTGAGCAGGGGCCAGGAGAGCAAGTCAGTAAGCAGTGTTCCTCCATGGCCTGTGCTCCAGCTCCTGCCTCCAGGTTCCTCCCCTGAGTTCCTACCTTGGGCCCCCGGATGAACTGTGACCCGAGAGATGTAAGCTGAATAAAGCCTTTCCTCCCCGAGTTGGTAGTGCTCAGAGTGTTTTGTCACAGCAGTGGAGAAACAAACCAGGACAGTTACTAACAGGAGTATGGGTGAGGGATTACTTACAGGAGCAGGGATGACTCAAAAAAGCAGCTGCATCACTGGAAAGTCCACCCCAACATAGGTGAGGACAAAGCTGGGGAGGGTCCTTCCAGCATCCTGCAAGTTTCCACTTTCACAAACATTAGCATTTTGTTTACTTCCAGAGTCTCAGGAGCTTCCCCTTCCCTCCTGGAGGGACAGTTTTAATTAGAGGAAGCTATTATAAAATAGAGCACCAGGGCACTTTAGCAAGCAGGCGAACACCATGGGTAGTTGGAGATCAGACTTTCTAGAGATATCTATGAAAATGGGGAGAATATGCCTCTCAGAAATTCCAACTGAAGGGTGAGGCATTGGATATTCACCCACCAATTTCCATCTGCCAATGATGAGAGCTGTTCTTAGGGTCACTAACCACCTGTCACTTGCAACCCGCCAATGACACATGACAGACCAAATCACAGGAAGGGTCGCACTGGAGGGAGAAGCCACTGGCACGGCAATGGTGAATGCCCAGCACCTGGTGAGATGGTAAATATTTAACAATTGGCTTTCCTAGGGAAAGAGCTCTAGCCTGTTGGATTTGCCAGTGTCTGTGGTGTAAATATTTCCACCGCAGAGAGTTCTACATAACCACATAACAGCACTGAGAGAGGAGTTGAGAGGATAGGTACACAGTTGTTTCTCACTGGTTGATACAAAACAACTCGTTACCCCTGGAAGGGAATGGAGCAGGTGTTTACAGCACCACAGTACTGTGCTACATAGAATCCTATAGCTTATGTTGACAGACTCAGTGGGGTATGGGCCAGGGACACAACTCCACACTGCTGCTCACAGCAACCTGAGTTCTTTTCAGAGATCTCTACTCAGGTGAAGTTCAAGAGTCTTGACTTTGCCACAGAAAAGAACTTCAGGATGAGCCGGTATGAAGCACAGCTGGGAATTATTAGGAAGACATTTTTAACATGGGTTTAAGCAGGAAGCAAGGACATGAATTAGAGAGGTACTCAAGGTAAAGGGAAGACACACCCAGGTGTGGGCTTCTCAGGAGAGTCTGCTCAAGAGACTTTATCATAGTCACCTGGATGGCTTCTAGAGTTGTCTCAAAGGATCTCTAAGGAACTTAAATGAGGTCATAGGATGGTTCCTAACATGCATGGGGTAGGATTACAACTGATAAGGTAAAACCCTGGGTGACAAGGGTTGTGCAGGAAGTTAAGATGATTTATCATAAACAGAAGTTTATAGTCCTGTTTATGAGAGTCTCAGAAAACATCAGGGGAAAGGCATAAGCCCAAACTGGAAGGTCAAATAAGCATGGTTCACTGCTATTTTAACATTTTTTAATTATTTTAATTTTTATTGATGTATACGTGCCTCACTTGTCTGTATGTGCACCAAGTGCATGCAGTTCCCAAGGAGGCCAAAACAGGGCCTCTGATACCCCGGAACTGGAGTTACATGCCTCCCAACATGGGTGCTGGGAACTGAACCCAGGTCATCTGCAAGAGCAGCAAATGCTCCTAACTGCTGAGCCATCTCTCCAATTCCTATTTTATTTTATTTTTAAAAATTTTTATTTTTATTTTATATGTATGAGTTTTATGTCTGTATGTATATATGTAAGTGCACCTGTATCATGCAGTGTCCATGGAAGACAGAATAGGGCATTGACTGCCCTGGAACTGTATGGGTGTCAGCTGCCATGTGCCCTTAACCACTGAGCCATCTCTCCAGCCCTTCGATCCCCATTTAACATTATTACTTGAAATACCTCTATATAAAAGGAATACTGTCTAAATAGGCAAATATAACTCTCTCTGTGTGTGTGTGTGTGTGTGTGTGTGTGTGTGTGTATGTGTGTGTGTGTTTGGAATTCTTGACTCAGCTGATGAGACTTCACCCAGTCTGTGAGGGGTCCCTTCCTTTCCCGTTCTCATGTCCCTTTAATTTCCACTGTCTTTCTACCCTGTCTCAATCTGCCTTTTGTATTATTCTGCAATATATCAGTGTTTGAACATCTTACCATGAACACCAAAGAATGACTCTAAATTTTTTTTTTTGGTCTTTTTAAGACAGGGTGTCCCTACAGCCCCAGCTGGCCTGGATTCACTATGGAGACCAGGCGGGCCTTGAACTCACAGAGGTCTGCCTGCCTCTGCCTCCTGAGTGCTGGGATTAAAGGCATGTGCCACCACACCTGGCCCATAAATTTTTTTTTTTTTTTTTTTGGTCTTTTGCGACAGGGTCTCCCTGTAGCTCCAGATTCCTGGAACTCACTCTGTAGACCAGGCTGGCCTCGAACTCACAGAGATCCGCCTGCCTCTGCCTGCCAAGTGCTTGGATTAAAGGCATGCACCACCATGCCTGGCTATCAGCCCATAAATTTTTTAGTAGCTATACACTCTAGGAAAGTATGTATGGTTTATTATTTGTACATCATCTTCCCTCAAGCCACCAACCCCTATCACACTGTCATTCATCCAGGGATCAGAGAAAACCCATTTAAGAGGTCACACTTCAAGGTTCCCTCCATGTGGCCAACCAAGTAGTAAGGGATTTCCGTTCTCATTTTGTCTGAGGAAAAAAAAACAAAAAACAAAAAACAAAGTACCCCCCCCCACACACACATCCCTTCTCTGATAACTATACTTCACTTTCTTTAAAGCGGCCACCTCTTCAGGAATTATTTTCTGACTTTGGGAATTAGTATATGACACAGGAATTAGAGTGTTCCATTCCCCTGGAGATAAAGAAAAGGCCCCAATCATATGTACCAAGATACTGCTTGCTTGGTGTTCTTAGAATAAAGGATCTCTTTCCTCTGGGTTACTAGGCTAGAAGGATGTGACCTGAGCTGCTGGTGGCCCTCCTCCACCATGAGGAAATAATTATGCCAATGCAGAAAGCAGTTGAGCTGGGGAACACAAGCAACACAGCTCAATCCTGATAATATTTGTGCCCTTGGATCCAGCTGTGCCTGCAAACAAATACTTCTGGGCTTTTTAATTAAATGAGCCACAAAATCCCTTTTTTACTTAAGTCACTTTGGGTTGGATTTCTAGTCACTTGCAATCAAGATTCCTGGCCGATTCACAAGTCTGAGACCAAATGGGCTAAACTTTTGCATAAACATTTCCAACTTTGACTCCTGGGTACTAAATAGAGTTCATTTTTAAAGTACAAATATAGTACATAAAATGGGGGTCCTGCCTCCAGGGGGGCTGAAGATGAATCCCAAGCTGATACTGGTTTGCAGAAACCAGCCAAAGGCACAAAGGGAGGTCACTTCAGGATCCGGATGCTCATTTTTTGCTCGATGTTCATCTTCTCTAAGGACTGGGGAAAGATGGGTGTGATCAAGTCAGGAGACTTGAGTCCCAACCCTATGCCCCTAGGGTCCTGCATCCCCCAGGATCCCCCAGGCCTCTCCCATCATCCAATGAACTTCATTTCCCACACACTTCTGTCTATGAATTCTTGAGCTCAACTCCTCTGGCCCTGAAGACATCCTTACCTTGGTGAACTCCAGGAAAGACACAGCCCCATCACCATCTTCATCAGCCTCTTGCACTGTGCGGTCTGTGATGCTCTCCAACTGCTCATCTGTCACCTGGACCCCAACCATCAGTCGGAGAACCTGGGGGATGAGAAGAGAGGCAACCATGAAGAAGAGCCACAAGGGCTGCTCCTCCATCCCCAGCCCTTTCCTACCTCATCCTGGAAGCTATTACCATTTCATTTACAGTTTTCACCTCATCAAATTCCCCCATCATCTCTAGTAACCTCCCAAAACACACACTGCTTCACTGTCTAGTCTCCCACGTGGCCCTACCCACACTTATTTCAACAATGAATGTGTCCCAACACCCCAACTTTATAACCCAATTTCCAGCCATCCTCTTCACCCTCTATCCCATTTCATCACCTATCCCAGAGTCTCTTAATCTTAGTAGTGCTGACATTCGGGCCCAGATAACTCCTTGGTGTGGGAGGTTGTCCTAGGTACTGCAGCATGTGCAGCACTATTCCTGGCCTCTTCCCAGTAAATGTCTTCCCAGTTGTGAAGTATCTCCAGATATCTCCAAATGTTCCCCCAGAAGACCAAACTGACCCCAAGTTGAGAATCCATGCTCTATTAGAAATCTCCTACCCACCTGCTCCCCACACCATCTCCCAAGTCCCACATTACATGGTCATGCAACCCCACTCATCTCACCACTCCGGAGATTCAACCATCCAGCCCTTCCCACATGGCATCTCATCCACCCAGGAGCTTCCAACCTGTAGCATCTCATTCCTCGAGATCTTTCCATCCCGATCCAGGTCATAGAGCTGAAATGCAACTGGGGAGGGAGTAGGTGAGAGGAAGATGAGTCTTCCCCATTCTAACCGAAGGTTATCAGGATTACAAGGAAAGTGAGCGATTCCTGGGGCCTCCCTCTGGTGGGTAAATCTGGAGTCTCACTTGGGCAGGTACACACACACACACACACACACACACACTCACAGCGAAGTTTGTTCATTCTGCTGTTAAGGGGTTCAGGATCTTTGGGGTCTCGGGTTGCGGCCTCCTCCTCATCTACAGGTCGAAAATGAGCCAGGACCCTGGCAAAGCCTGCGAAATCAACTTGCTGACTCCTGCAAAGGATGGAGGAAGAAAGTCGGCAGTCCAACCTGCCACTGTCTGTGTCCTCTCTCCCACCCACATCCATCTCCCCACACCCAGCAGGGATTCACCCATCCAGGAAGAAGCTGTCTATAATGCGGTCTCCCAGAGGGTTCACCGCCAGCGCCCCGATCTGCTGGAGATCCGTGCGACTGTAAAGACAAAATTCAAAAGCGGTGGAACAAAGGAGGCAGATGGAGGCGGCAGAGAGAGAATGGGATCAGAAAAACAGAGGCAAGAGATCCTCGGGTCGGCTGCGCTCACCTCAAAAAGCCCTTCTTGTTCCTGTCCAGTGTTTGGAACCGGCCATAGAGGCGGAGCAGACTGGCTTCCGAGACTGCAGGAGGGAAAGAGGTAGGGTCACCCAGCCTAGGACGCACAGGAAGGCGGCTGGTCCTAAGCGCCTTAAGGCATGCTGCAGAAACCCCCAGCAGGGGGACCTGGGCCGAGCACGGATAGGGCTTGCTACAGATTCCGGTCTTTAACCTCCCCCTCCATCCACTGACATCACGGGGCTTTCCACCGCCCCACACTCGGTGTGGCCTCAGCCTTAGGAAGAAGCGGACAGGGGTGTGGTTGGAAGGAGAGAGAGTGGTTACTCCTGCACAGGCGGAGACCACGCGGCTGCTGGAAGCTTGACCTAATGAAGTTCTAGGTTCCAGACCCAGATTCCCTGCGTCCCGGTGCTCCCCTCCCAGAACCCAGGCACGGAAGTCAGTCTCCTGCCTGCGTGCTCAGCTCTGACTTCAGCCCCCACCGGAGTTCAGTACAAGTGAACGCCTGGATGCACCTGGTCCCCAAGCCGGTCTATCAGGACCCGCCTCAAACTTGAATTCGGACCTCTAAGTGAGTCCCTGCGATCTGGGACACTTAGGTCCCAATTTCCCAACTCCAGGCACGGATTCCCGGACTTCAACTCCAAGACCCCTAAGTCCCTGTATCCGGGACATCTTTCAACCAAGCGCTGCCTGGAGAACCGTACGCTACGCTAAGCTCCCGCCGTCTGGGCCGGTCCCCCGGCAGAACCCTGCGCACTCACAGCCGGTCTCGTTCCGAATCTGGTCCACGTCGGGAATGAGCGCGATGTGGGAGCTGCGCGGGCCCATGGCGGAGCTGCGGGGGAGGCGGGAGATCCCTGGATCCGGGACATCTTTCAACCAAGCGCTGCCTGGAGAACCGTACGCTACGCGAAGCTCCCGCCGTCTGGGCCGGTCCCCCGGCAGAACCCTGCGCACTCACAGCCGGTCTCGTTCCGAATCTGGTCCACGTCGGGAATGAGCGCGATGTGGGAGCTGCGCGGGCCCATGGCGGAGCTGCGGGGGAGGCGGGAGCTGCAGCGGAGGCGAGTGCAGCCGGGACCCGGGCGTCCTCTGCTCCAGCCTAGGAGGCGCGGCCGCGCAGTGGCCCTAGGGCCGAAGGTCACGGGCCTGGAGAGCAGCCAGGTTCCAGAACCCCGGCGTTGGTCGCCTCCCACCTAGACCCGGGCGAACAGAAAACAATGGCCGGGGTAGCGGGTCAGAAGGGAAGGCTGTGAACAACCAGTTGTTTCAGCCCGGAGACCGAAGTCCCCGCGGACTGGGCGAAGCCAGGGCCCTGCCTTTCTCACGTCTTGCGGGGGTCAGTTTTCTTCTGACCCACCCCAGACACACACCCATCTCTGCCAGGGCCTCCCAGATCCGTGCTTACCCGGGGATGCTCTGCAAGAGTTCAGGTCCTGCAGGGTGGGATGGAGATGGCCCCTTGAGGACCAGAAGAGGAGAGTCTCCTAGGGCAGGAGGAGTCATGATGGGGAGTCCCCAGTTCCACTAAGTGAGAAGAGCACGAACTTAGACGACTTTGGATAGCTTAGACTGGAATCCTAACTACCCCACCTACACTACAAGAGCCCGTGTATCTTGGTTACACCTTTTTTTAGTTTGGTCTACATAAGGTTATTAGGTGTCTGAGCCAATTCTTAAAATCTAGGAAGCCTGCCTTGGTAATGCAAGACTGTAACCCCAGCACCTAGGAGGTTGAGGCAGAAGACTAGGTATGAATTGAAGGCTAGTCTGAACTACATAGTGAGTTCCAGACCAGCCTGGGCTACTTAGTTTGACCCTGTCTCAAAACAAAAAAATCAGCAAAGTTTACCCCAAATCCAGATTCCTGGTTCTCCAGGACATAAGAAGTTCTGGAGCTAGGGATGTAGTTGTGTGGTGCAGTTTGCCTACTATCCCTACCCAAAGTCCTGGCTTCACTGGTTTGGGGACATATCACTAGCCCCAGGCTATTTGCCATAGTCCCCACCCAGCCCAGTTCAGTTCAGTCTCCTGGGTACCCTGAGGGCCCTAATAGAACAACTGGTTTGTAATGACTTAGACCTCTGATCAGTCTCCAACACCAACCAAGCTGAAGTCTGTGACCAGCTTCAAATACTGATGACAGTAGCAAGGTTTATCATAGTGTACCCAGGACTTTACTATGCACTTTATATGCCCTTCCTAGCCTGCTTCTGACTTTCATGTGGCAAAGGCTGCCAAGGTTATTTTGTGAACTGGAAAGCACACTGAGTTAGTCCATTTCTCATGACTGTAAGGGCACAGAGCAGTCTGAGTAATATACAGAGAATAAAAGGTTGTCATGTGAGGTGCTACATACCTGGAATGCCAGCACTAGGGGAGGGGGACTGGGGCACAAGAATTGCCTAGCCTGGACTACATGATGGTTCCTGGTTAGCCGAGGCTACAGTATGAGACCTGTTCTCAAAAAAAAAGGATTGTTCAACTCAGATCTTTCAGTTGAAGATAAATTACAGCATCTGGTGGGTCTCTCTCTGTGGAGTCCTACACTGTTCAGGGTATCACTTGTTAAGACCAGCAGAGTTCCCCAGCTCAGGTCTCTCCAGTTCTTATAATGCCACAGACTCAGTCTATGCTGGTAGTATAGACCTATCATCCTAGCTACTTAGGAGACTGAAGCAGGAGGCTCACAAGTTCAAGGCCTACCTGGTCTATGGAGTTCAAGTTCAGGCTAAGCAATTTAAGAAGACACTGTTTCAAGATTTAAAAGTAGGGGGCTGGAGAGATGGCTCAGTGGGTAAGAGCACTTGCTGTGCACTCATGGGGACCTGAGTTTGAGTCTCCAACACTCACAGAAAATGTAAAGCATGGCTTCACATACCTGTGACCCCAATGCTGTCACTGGGGGGGGGGGCTGAACACAAGTGGATCACTCACTGAGCTTGCTGGCCACCAGCCTAGCTCTAAACTCAGTGAGAGACCCTCTTTCATAGGAATAAAGTGGTGATAGAGAAGGACACCTGATGTCTTTCTCTGGCTTCTGTGCATGTGCCAGGTCCACACACAGGGACACACATTAAAAAAACTTTTAGGTAAAAAGAGAGTTGAGGGTATAACAGTGCTAGAGTGCTTGCCTAGTAAGTACATGACCCTAGGTTCAGTCCCCAGTACTACCAAAGGCCTTGTGCATGCTAGGCAAGTGCTATTTGGGTTTGTTTTTTATTTTTTTACAGTAACCTCCATAAAAATTGCCAACTTGGGCAGGCAAGAAGGCTTAGTAGGTAAAGGCACTTGCTGCCAAGCCAGAAGACCTAGGAGCAAGCTCTATAGGGGTCCAGTTTTGAAACTACCCCCCCACCATAATCATACAAATTTTCCTGGAAGATGCAAGACTTTAAGTACGAGGGTTCAAGTTCATATCCATTTTGGAGAAACTGGAGAGTCTATTATCCTGCAGCTTGAGGCAGAAGCTTAAATCTGAAGAGCCTTGAAAATATTGATCTAAAAAGTGCTTGCTTCTGTTTCAGATGCCCCAAGGACTAGACAACTGACAGAAAAGATGCTTGATTCCCTTGCAACTATCCCCCAAGGAATAAAGAATGTGGGAAGTCACCCTCCTCCCTCATGAAGCCCAACAGTCACTCCAGGCCAGAGCTGGGAGTCAGGCTGGGAGTGCAACTGAGTACAGTTCTGAACCCAGGAGGGAGGGAGAGTCCCCAATGGCAGCAGTAGTCACCTCAGGCCAGTGTGGGATGCTGATCTTGGAGAGCAAGGGTCTTCCAGCCTTGGTCTCTGAGTCAGCGCTTCACTCCAGTAAGTCATCCTAGAGCCATGAATAGCCCATATGCACAGCCACACACAAGGCTTCAGGACCCTGTGCCAGAACGACTTCTTTGTGCATGCAAGTGGAATTGAAACTGATTCCACAGTGCACGTGCCGACATCTTTTCAGTTACTTAAAGGAGAGGTATTTGGGGAAATATTTCTGAAAAATAGTCGACTAGCTTTAGGTTGAAGTGTGTGTGTGTGTGTGTGTGTGTGTGTGTGTGTGTGTGTGTTACTGGGGATGGAAACTAGAGCCTTGTGCATGCTAGGCAAGTGCTCCTCCACTGAGTTTATTTATTTATTGTTTTACTGTAAACTCCATAAAAGTTACCGCCTCCTAGAAGTTGCCCTCTGACCTCTGCACCTGTGCAGTGTCCTCCCCATAAATAAATAAATAAATAAATAAATAAATAAGGTAATTTTTTAAATGTTTTCAGTTGCCAGCCATCCTTGATGAAGTTTCCGTTAGAAAAACTAATGCCAGGTGCAATGGCGCACACCTTTAATTCCAGCACTTGGGAGGCAGAAGCAAACAGATACTACACTTGATCTTAGCCAAGAGGCTAAGAAGCAATGGAAGGCAGAAGCAGATAGATCAGGCCAACTTGGTCTACATAGTGAGTTCCAGGGCCTGCTGAGGCTACAGGGAGACCCTGTCTAAAAATAAATAGATTAAATAAATAAATAATAAATAAATAAATAATATTTGTGTGTATATATAATTCTTACCACTCAATAATAGCATAAATGTTATTAAAAATAACTTAAAAATGGGCAAAGGACTGGAATGAAAATCTCTTCAAAGAAGATATATGGATGACCAAATAAAGTCATGCAGAGAGTTTCAATATCACTAGTCACCAGAGAATTAAGAATCCAACCCCAGTGGGGTACAACCTCACACCCATGGGGATGACTAGAATTAAGAAAAATAAAGAAAAGCCAGGGAAAACAACAGGTCCCAGTGAGGATATGAGGAAATCAGAGGCCTCATGTACTCTGGGAAGGAAAATGCTGCAGTCGCTGTGGAAAACAATTTCAAGATATCCCAATAAGTTAAATTATCACATGACCCTACAACTCCACTCCTAGATATATGCCATAAAGAACTGTAAAACCAAGTGTTCATTAAGTCACCAGGGAGATTCATCAAAACACAATAGAGCAGGGACTGGAGAGATGGCTCAGTGGTTACAGGCACTGGCCGCCATTGCAGAGGACCTCGTTCAATTCCCAGCACCCACAGGGAGGCTGACAACCATCCACAATTCAAGTTCCAGGGGATCTGATGCCCTCTTCTGGCCTCCACAAGCACTGCATGACATGAGTGCACTTACATATATGCATGCAAAACAAACATATAAAAATAATAATTAAAACATTTTTTAAACAAACAAACAATAGAGCTACTGGTGACCCAGCCATACCAGTCCTGGGTATTTTTGCCTGAAGGATTCTTGGGTCAGTATATCACAGAGATACTTGCACATCCATTTAATGCTGCACTATTCACAAAGATCAAACTAAGGAGCCAACCTACATGTCCATCAACAGATGGATGGCTACATAAAATGCAGTTGATATACACGATGGGATTTTAGTCAGCCATAAGAAAAATGAAATTATGACGTTCGCATGAATGTGGGTGAAACTGGAGATCATTATGTTCAGCAAACTAAACCAGACTCAGAAAAACATATACTACATGTTTTTATCACATGTATTTATCGATTTCATGTGTGTACATGTGAAATACACTGCCTGCATATAGAAGTCAGAGGACAACTTTTAGGAATTGGGTCTACACTTCCACCATGTGGGTCCCAGAGACTGAACTTAGGCCACTGAGCTTGTCAGCATGTGCCTTAACCCACTAAGCCATCTTACCAGCCCAATTCTGCATGTCTTCTCTCATACTTGGGCTCTAGATTTATATATAATCCATATGGAAGAGTTTTGGAAAGTAGAAAAGAGACTCTGAGGGACAAAGGAAGAGATCTTAAGGGAAATAAAAGAGTAACAGAAAACATGTGCTGAAGGAGGGACAGGGATGAGCAATTAGGGGCCAAGGGGTGGAGGACAGTAATAGGATAAGGGGATGAATGGGAACAAAATACAGCGTGAAAATTCTCTAATGAAACCCATGACTTTGTATACTTACTTTAAAAATAAATTAGAGGCTGGAGAGATGGCTCAACGATTAAGAGTATTTGCTGCTCTTACCAAGGAACTGGGTTCAGTTGTCAGCACTCATGTGGCAGCTAACAACACCTGTAACTCCAGTTCCAGAGAATCTAGTACCCTCTTTAGGTCTCCACAGGCATTACACATACATGGTGTACTTACATCCATGCAGGCAAAACATTCACATACAAGCTGGGCTTGTTGGTGCATGCCTTTAATACCAGCCTGGTCTACATAACAAGTTTCAGGACAGCTGTGGCTAAAGGGAGACCTTGTCTCCAAAAGACGAAAAAAAAAAAAAACCATAAAATAAAAATAAACTTTTAAAAGTAAATTAACTTTCTAAAAAGGAAGAAAACTGGTGTCCAAACAAAAACTTGTGCAAGAATGCCCACAGCAACACAAGTCGCAATAAATAAAAATTAGAAACAATGCCAAAGCCTGATGAATGGACAAACAGAGCTTGGTATTCAGTAAATTATTATTTGGCCATACAAAGTAATGATGTGCTAATGCATGCCACAACATAGATGAATTTGGATAAGGTTACATTAAGTAAAATAGGCCAAATGGAGCACAGTGGTATACACCTATAATTTAAGCAGCTGGAAAAAAAGATCAGAAGTTCAAGGTCATCCTTCAAAGTCGGCCTGGGCTACATGAGACCCTATCTCCAAAAAACATAGTAAAATGAACTATTAATAAAAGGTATATATTATGATTCCATTGTATGGAATATCAAGAATTTATGGAAATCAAAAGTAGATTAGTGGATGTGTTAGACACACACCTGTAATCCTAGCACCCAGGAGGCGAAGCAGGTGGATCTCTGTTTGAGGCCAGCCTAGTCTACATAAAGAGTTCAAGATCAGCCAGGGTTACATAGTGAAACCTTCTCTCAGTGTTTGTTAAGGGATGGAGAGGTGGCATAAAGGAGAATAAAAAGCCCAGAACTTCATTATTTCTTCTTTCATTTCTGTGGTGAACCTGGGGCCTCATACCTTCTAGGCAAGGACTTTATCACTGAACTTCGTTCCCAGTCCTTAGAATTTTTTTCCCATTTTAAGGGCTTTGATTTATTTCCCAAATAGTTGTATTGTTATTTTTGTCATTATTATTGTTGTAATTTTATTTATTATTTTCATTTTATGTCTATGAGTGTATTGCCTGCATGTATATAGGTGCACCCATGTCACATAATGCCTGTGGAGATCAGAAGAGAGCATCAGATCCCTTGGAACTGGAGTTATGGATGGTTGTTAGCCACCATGTGGGTGCTGGGTCCTCTGCAAGAGCAGCCAGTGCTCTTAATTGCTGAGCCATCTCTCCAGCCCCTGTTGTTATTATTATTAACATTATACAATTTCATATGTGTATGTACTAAATTTTGGGCATTTTTATCCCCATTACCTTCTTTCATCTACTTTCCCTCCCACTGAAACCCTTCTTTCCTTCTTTCCAACATACCCTTTCCTATTTTGCTGTGCTGGGTGTATGTGTGTGTGTGTCTGTCTGTCTATCCATGTGATCTACTGAGTTTAGTAAGAGTTGCTTGCATGAGCATGGGGGGCCAGGGGTTGTTTACTGGAACATGGGCAACCTACCAGTGGCCACACCACTGAAGAAGCCCAGCACCCATTACCCATAGTCCCTCAGTGAAGCCCGGCCTCATGATGAAATGGTGAGAGGTCCAGACTTGTGCAGGTAACCACAGCTGCAGTGAGTTCTTGAGTGCAGCAACCATGGCATGTCCAAAAGGCATTGTTTCACAGTACTCCTCTCCAACATCTAGTTCTTAACATTCTTTCTATCCCCTCTCTCTTGTTATCTCCAGAGCTTTGGAGAGGGTAATATATTGTCTCATTTAGAACCAAGCACTCCACAGTCACTTATTTTCTCCTCTTTGACCAGTTGTGAATCACTGTATTAACCACCATTCGCTACAATGAGAAGCTTTTCTGATGGAAACATTCTAAAAGTGGCCTCGTGCTGGTTGTATATGTCTGTGAAAATATTAATATCTATGAGTTACACACCTTAAATGGGTGAGTTTTATAGTATGTAAATTATGTCATGAAAAAGCTGTTTTGTAAGAATAGCTAGGAAATCCATGAAAATAAAGGTATTGAAGATAAACTTGCTCATACAGATTTTTCAGTGTATTACAAAAGATCATCTATGCTGTGATGTGTAGGGTCCGACAGACACAAACAAGAGAGTCAGATCCAAATACAGATGGGAATTTGTCATGTGATTAAAATAACATTTTAAAAAGTGTAGAAAATGTAAATTATTCAATAAATGTCATTTAGAACATCTGTCTTTTGTGGGGAAGAATAAAACTGTACCTACCTCCTCAGACGAAATAAATCTCAGACAAAATAAAGATTTAAATGTAAATGAAACCATATAAGGCCAGAAGAAATCTTGGCTATATTTAGTTAATCTTGAACAGAAGGATTTTCTTTTTAAAAAATTTTTTTATTTCTTATTTTTATTTTATGTGTATGCATAATACACTCATGTATTTAAGTGCACCTGTGTTGTGAAATACCCACAGAGGATAGAAGAGTCTGTCAGATTCCCTGGAACTGGAATTATGGACAGTTGTTAGCTGCCATGTGGGTGCTGGAATTCAAACCCCAGTCTTCTATAAGTACAGCCAGTGCTCTTAACCACTGAGACATCTCTCCAGCCTCCTAGGATAAGGCTTTTCTAAACATGAAACAAAACACAGAATTCATGAGACAGTAATGACAAATTTGACTACGTGGAAAATTAAAATTCTCTGTTATGTATACATCATACCTATTATATCAAAGTCAAAAGAGAGAACTGGGAGAAGTGTTTCAGTCACTGTACAAGGTAGAACACAGCCCAGTAGAAAATAATTGAGAAATGATTAATAAGAGGCTAGAGAGATGGCTCAGCAGTTAAGTGTGTGCACTGCTCTTACAGAGGACCTGGGTTCAGTTCCCAGCACCTAAATGGCAGCTAACAACTGTCCATAACTCCAGTTCCAGAGGATCCAATGCCCTCTTCTGGCCTCCAAGGGCATTGCATGCATGTGTTACACTTACATACATACATGCAAAATACTCATACACATAAAATAAAAATAAAAGGAGGGGGGCTAGAGAGACGGTTCTATGATTGAAAGCACTGGGTGCTAACAACCATCAGTAACTCTAGTTCCAGGGGATCTGATGCCTTCTGTCCTCTATGAACACAGGTGCACTTACACACATGCAGACATAACACTCATACACATAAAATAAAAATATATCGATAGATAGATGATAGATGAGATAGATAGATAGATGATAGATGAGATAGATAGATAGATGATAGATGATGATAGATAGATAATAGATAGATGATGATAGATAGA